AGCAATATTGCTCACCCTTGAAGAACACTTCAAGAACAGCAACTCCAGCCCTCTCCTTCTGATCAAAACCCACTCAAAACTCCAAGAACAAACTCTCAACACCCCAAAACCGAAGTATGGTGTAACACTAGGTGTTTTAGTGCAAAACTAAGAACAAAACACCCTTTTGGACACTCTAACACACACAAATGTAGAGAGAGAGGAAGATATATAGAGAGAGAGTGATATATGAGATATATATGTCTGATTTGCTGAACCTCTCTAATGGAAGGAGAGGCCTCCTTTTTTAGAACAAAACAAGGACCAAAGCTTCTTAGAGAAGCTAAGGTAAAGAGGTCAAGCTTCTTCAAGAAGCTAGACCAAAGGTCCAAGCTTCTTGGGGAAGCTAAGACAAAGGGTTCAACCTCCTGGAGGAAGCTAAGACAAAGGGTCTAAGCTTCTTCAAGAAGCTAAGAGTAAAAGGGTGCAAAGGATGCAAGTCCTCCATACACGTGTATGGAGGACAAGGTCCGTGCACTCCAGCTGGCACAGCTGGCATGCACAATACCTGAAAAAGGCAAAAAAGAGGCACCGGCCAGAAAAAGAGACAATTGGCCAAATAAATGGCCGACCAACCAAACAATTGGTCGGTAGACAGAAAGCAAGGCCGGTGGCTTCATGCCACGGCCGGTGGGTTTAAGGGATGGCTAAAAAGGCCACTTCCTACCCTCAAGTGCAAAAATCACAAGTCCTTGGTCCACAACCAAGCACAAAACAGTCAAGTCGAGAGATCCTAAGGCAAGGCGCGTAGCCGAGTCCTTCGGGATCTCAAAATGAACACGAATATGAATGATCACCGAGTGTTCAAACGATGACGTCCAAGTCTTGAGGATGGTCAAAAATGGGGTGTCTATAAGGACTTCCATAAAATCAACCCATTTTATCTTTGATACAAGATTCTTGTTTTGATTCTAGATATGATATAAACTAATAAGCTCTGTACTATAATTAGTCTACAACAAATCAACCCCAACAAAAATCAGTAGTATTGGTGGTGGTTCTGTGCTATTTAGTGGTCTGCAACAACTTTAGTCTCTTAATTGGGGCCATAATGGTGCATCACATTGCTATGGGTGTTATAGAGAAAGAAATGTCATGATGTTTGTGATGAGGATTACAGTTGTCGATTGGAGTTGAGGATTGGTAGTGCTCTGTGCCTGTAGTTGTAAAGGTGCCGCCATCGGGGTTGATGGGGGGTTGGTTGGAACTTGGATGGAGGTGATGAGGGAAAATGAGAAAGATGAAAGAAGGTAATCGGTACAGGTCAATATAGTAATTTTACAGTGTTAGTATGGGGTATTGTGGTCATTATGTATTTTTTGTCACTTCTGTTAGAAGACTAACATTGACAAGGAGTGCAGTGTAATTTTTAAAATGTAGAGGGGAATTTTGTATTAAATCCAAATCTCAAGGGGTGTCAATGTAATTTACCCAAGTTTGATTTTGTAAGTCCTCTATAAGATTTTTTACTCATTCAAGTCTCATAATTTTTAATAGACGAAATTACCATTCAAACAATATTTCTTTGTCATTTGTAATAGTTTATAAAAGAGCATAGCGATGTGCCATTTATTTCGATTTTTAAAATTTTAAAATATCATAATTTTTACAATATATATTTATTTTTGATAAAATTTATATTTCTGGAATCAATCCAATGAAATTTATCAAATTAGACTAATATTAAATGTAAATTATATAAATAAATAAATATATATATATTATAAATTTACAATTTTTAATAGTAAGTTTTCTTAACTTACTTAGCCAATAACATTTACTTGGTCTAATTTTTTTATATAAAATATACGGAGTGAGTTGAGTTAATTAAGAGAAAATTTCATGTAAAGTTAAAAAAAAAAAAAATCATACTTAAAATGAGGAATTATACTAAAAAAACTATAAATTTGATCCAAAAAAAAAAGAAAAAGAAAAAAGAAAAAAAAGATTTGCAACTACGAAATTTATATATTTGAAAAATGTTTTAGTGTGAAGAAGCTTCTTAGTCTAAAAAATTAAAAAATAAGTTAATTTACAATATTCTTAATTTCTAATCATAAATTAAAATTTTAAACAAATAAAATCTCTTTCACACATAAACATATATAAACAAATTGAGAAATATCTAAATTACGAAACTAATAAAATTGAAAATTTTCTTAGTTGACGAAACAATTACATGGAACATTTCTGTACAAAACTGAGAATATTATCGGTTTAAAAATGAAAAAATTGACAATATTATCAATTTTAACACTAGAAAAAAAATTGAGAAATTTATCAAAAACTGATAATATTCCCAATTAATACTGAAAAAATTGAGAAATTTCTTAGTTTATTGGATAGTTTCGCAAACTGAGAAATTGTAAGTTTTGTATAACTAAAAAAATAATATTTATTTTTATAAAATTTTATATCCAATATTGGTCTGGTTTCCTATTGTGTACACTTTGAAAATATAATTTTTATTAAAAATAAATATGTATAATAAAAGTTATGAAATTTTTAAGTTTTGAAACAATAAAACAAAAGGAAATATCATATCAACAGTACCCACTTGAATTAGGAGAAATTATCTAGTGCTTTTGGAGTATAGTCAGATGATTTCTAGGAGATTTATAATTGGTAGAAACATAATCAGCATGCTTGGCTATCATTTTTTAAAAACACTTCTCAGAAAAATTTACTTTCTTATTTTTTGTGTTTTTTTATTTTTATTGAATTTTTTAAATATTTTCAACAATTTTTTTAATTTTTAGACATACCTAACATATATATATCTAAAAAGTAAAAAAAAAAAATTGAAAAAAACTTTTTAAAAATTCACTAAATACCAAAAATATAAAAAAAATACGAGAATTAAGTACATTTTTTTTGTATTTTTATGTATTTATTAATTTTTAAAAATATTTTTTCACAAATTTTTTATTTTTTAGATACATCTAAGTAAGGTGCATTTAAAAAAGTAAAAAAAATGTTTAAAATTTTAAAAACATTCACTAAAAACAAAAAAATACGAAAATCAAAAAATTCAATTTTCAAAAAACTTAATTCAAAAAACTTACACCAAACACGCTGAATGTTGTTATGTAATGCACTTGAAACACTTAATAATTTTTTATTAGCATGAATTGAGGCCTTTTCAATTCCTTATGCCCTCTAATGAGGGTAAAATTTACATATAAATATTTTGAACATGAGGTCATATTAATTACAAATAATGAAGACTTAGGAGTTGTTTGCGATGTCCTAAATAAGTGTATTTTTTGTTTTTTTAAACTAAAAAGTTGAGGAAAAAAAGATGAATGTTTGAATTAACTTTTTGACTTTTAAGAAAAAATGTGTGTTAAAAATTTGTATAAATAAGTGTATAGGAGAAGTTTTAGTGAAGGAGGCAATACGGCCCGTACAGTCTGGGCAAAGTAGTGGACTGAGTATAGGGGTGGGCGCAGGTTGGTTGCGGCCACTAAACCTCCAATCCGTCATTCGTCCGTCAGATTAGCGGATTGGAGAAAATCAATTCGCATCCGTCCGCCAATCTGGTGGATGTGGATTGAGCGGATTGGCGGTTTAGCAGATGGATGTGAATCGGTTTGGCGGTTTAAAATTTTATAAATTGTCAACATAATTCAACTTGTGCACTTTCTAAAAAAAAGAAGAAAGTATTACAGTTAATGACTTAAAAAAATATTACAATCACTGCATGCCTCATCCAAAATAAGAAAGTTTGAAACTTTAGAATATCACAATCACTGCATGCCTCATCCACATACCACAATTACAGCATGCCTCATCTATATAAAGTATTACAATCTATGGTTCTTAAAATATAAAAACAATTCAAACCATCACAAACATGAACAGAGTAGTAGTAGAGATTACATGTCTCTGTGTTGTTACATCTATATTTGTTTTTGAAAACAAAAACCAACCATTATATATCATATTTTCTATTTATTATTTTTAGAAATAGATTTAAAAACCAAAAAATATAGATAAATAATACGTTTATTTTTTTCAATTTAAAAAAGATATTCAAGTTGAAAACTTTTTTTCAACAGAATATTTAAACAAACTGAAAATACAAAGTCTTATAAATTACTAGGGGTGTTCGCAGTTTGGCGGTTCGGTTGCGGCCAAAGAAATCTCAAATTCGACATCCGTCCGCCAGATTGGCGGATTGGAGAAAATCAATCTGCAACCGTCCGCTTGTCATCACGAATCCGTCCAAAATATGACGAATCGGTTCGGTTCGGTCGGTTTTGACGGATCGGTATATCCGCTGCTCACCCCTAGCTGAGTAAGAGATAGGAAATGGTTGCCTCCTTTTCAGGCTTGAATTGAACGGTGCTGTTCGGTCCATGGGGGCCACCACGGGTCCCGTTTTGCTAATCGAAACCGTTCAATGTGTAGATGTGTAGAACTCGTCGAATACTATATACTTGTAAAAAATTACGTTAATCGGATATCGATAGCTATCTGATCGTATTAGTTTTTTTGTCAATCGTTAACTATAACACCATCTATTTTTTATACAAAACTAATTTGATCATGTAGTTAGCGATATCCGATCAATATGATTTTTTACAGGCATATAGTACTCAACGAGTTCTACACATTGAACGGTTCAGATTATCAAAACGGGACCCGTGATAGACCTCCACAGGCCGAACAACACTGTGTTGTTTGTGCACCCCACCTGTGAAATTTTTCCAAAAAAGTTAACAAAGTCTGTGGAGAGACAGATATCCGTTGTAATAATTAAGTGTAAAATTAATTTTTTTTATATATATATTTTTTTATAAATAGTGATAACTTTCAAATTTTTTGAATAACCTTTTGACTTTTTTCATGTATTCCAAACCAGGCCATAATGGAGCACCAACCTTACAAATTAGACTTTTGAGTAATTAACCCAATAATATAACATTCCTTAAAAATAGAGACTTAACACCTTAACATGTTTTCAAAGGAAAATGATAATCTTTTACCATAATGAAGTGATGGTAACAGTTTTTATAATCAATACACATTTCAATAAATTGTGACAAGCCCATTACTCAACTACATCATTCTATATACGGTTCTTGTTTGTATGACATTACCTATTTTTGAATATGGGCAGGTCGACGATGAGAGATCAATCGTCTATTTTCAGGATGCAGCAAGTACAAATCTCATATTGGTTATCATCCTGATACAAATTTTGTATAGAATTGAAGGGGAAAAAAAAAAGAATGCATGTTGTTCTTTAATTCCTAAAGGATTGCTGGATCTTTGTATCTCTTGAAAACAGTCTCTACATCTGCCATGACTTCAGGTGGAAAAGGCCGCTCCGTCGTCAAAACAGCATCGATGTCCTCTTTTAATTGGATGACCGATGTCGCACCAATGATTAAACTCGTCATAAACGGACGGTCTCGTGCAAATCCGAGTGCTAACTCAACCAGAGTTAGTCCATGTTTCTTGGCTACTTCAATATATTTTATTGTTGCTTCCTAGAATTCAAGAATACCAAATATTAGCATGGACAATGAAATAACACTAATGTTGATTTTCGCTAAGACATACAAACAATGGGAGCTTATAAGTAACCCACAAAAAATGAAACTGAGAAAAACAAAAATTACCAATCCAACGTAGTGAGTGTGTGCGCAGCATAATATGATAAATAACACCACCTATGAAACATGGGCATTGGTACGATATGGATACGTCAACATGATAAAATCTAAAAAAAGTAAAATATAGGTACAGCTTGGTACGCTTGTAAAAAAATATTTATTTTTAATTTAGAGTAATGTAAAAATTAATTAAATGATCTAATTTGTTAGGATCTAACCTATAATTAACATTTAATGTCAAAAGTAAATGTATAAATCAAAATTAAATGTTAATATATTAAATAACTTGCAAACCATAATTTAATTTCAAAATCATGCTAAGTATAAAACTAAAAAATAAAAAAGAAGTCTAGTGAAAGGAGTTTTTATGTCTGTAGTAGAAGAAAATATTATTTCAACTGAGATACAGTATGGCTTAGGTATCTACTAGTTATATCTGGGTACGCCAAAAATTAAGAAGAAAAAATTTAAGTACATGTTTCGTATGTACATAGAAGTATCATACCAGGTACCATAGGTACCATACGCCAATATGTACCCAGTATGGGTACGACATGTTTTTCGAAGTACCCATACTTCATAGAACACCACTAATTGATAAGTCGGACAAGATCAAAAGTGTAAAATCAAAAAAAATGGCCAGCACAAAAATAAAATAATGAAATAAAAAAATCAATGTGAATTGGTTAGTGTAACACAAAAAATCATAAGCGACCCATAGGCATCTCTGCAAAGTTTAGCTCAACTCTTAGAGTCCTAGATGCAAATTATGAAGGTCATCATACTAATAATTATGTTTAATGTGTGCATTATGTGGGGTGAATTCTAATATTAACACCAACTTTTGAATACACAAATACTAACGGATGTTCAAATGACAACTAAAATACGCACCTTGGCAATAGATCTGTTATATCTTTCCATGTAGCCAGGGAAAAGGTTAAGCCTTCCTCTTTTTGCAGCTTCAGAATCAATATCTATGTACTTTCCTGACAGTGATCCACCACCCAATGGGGAATAAGCTAGCAATCCAATATTGCAATTGTTTGGGTGGCACACCTCAACAAGATCGACTGCAAAGAATCAAACTAACAATCATAATCTTTTGAATACAATAAACTGAATTTATCCATACTTATGAAATAGTGGCCTTCAGTTCTTTATCTTCAAAGCTGCTATCAATGGCTAGAATTGTGCATTTAATTAGACAAGATGTTGTTCGGATGTTGAGTTTAAGTTTCAAAATTGCAAAAGATTAGTGGACTGAATTATGAATAATTAGAATGAGTGTTTTGACTTCTACAAATTTTTATTGTTAGTCATGCAATATTAAATTTAGAGATCCAGAGTAACTTTAATAATTACAGCTGATACATCTACTATTAAGTTTTCTGCAAGTTCAAACCTGAATTCCAGGCACGATCTGTAAGTTACAAATCATGAAAAAATTTATTCATGTGACAACAAAAATGGCAACCACACCATTTGATCCACAACCATAGAGTTATTAAGGCTGGCACTAATGCCGTTCACGATGGTTTTATGTTTCAAAGTAAAGGAAGTCATCAACGATCATGGTTTGCCAAAGATCTAGTCATTGAGAGTCATGCTACCTGTCCCTAAACTATGTTGTTGTAAACTAAACAGTAGCGGCCAATTTAAGAGAATAGATGAAATATGGTAGGCAGTTACCGAGATGGATCATATAAGAGACATTCAATCAACCAAAGTCTTTTTTTTTCTTTTTTTCTGTTTTTTTTTTTTTTAAATCCAAAAAATATGCTAATCATTGCTAGGATTGTGCTGGGTTGCTAAAGTAAAAAGGTTTCCTTCAAACGACAGCCATGAACGTCGAATAATTGACATTAAATTACATGGAACAACTATGAGAAATTGTTTGCCTATGGGAGTTTCCAGTTGGGAGAACAAAAAGGAATAGTATGTTCTAGTGAAATACACAGATATAGATGGAAGAAATAAATATGTCTACCTGTCAATTGTAAAGCACAGAGTTGAACAGACAAATTAACCAGTCATGACTAAAGCACAAAATCAGATAGAAAACAACTTCCCTTCACATATCTACTAAAGTGAAACAAGATACTGAGGGCAAAGAGCTTACCTTCAAATTTACATCTAACTAACAGACTGTAGCTGTTTTGGATGCTGACAATCTTTGGCAATCCTTCAGCTTTTGCAGCGTGAACAAATTCCATCACCCCATATGAAGTTTCATTAGAAACACCAATGTAGCGTACCTGAATAGAACACCATGTCTTCAATATCACTACAGAAATAACAACAGTGGACGGAGTGACACCAGAATCAGCTAGACTCAATGTCAGTAAATATAATCTTAATCGTAAAAAATTACACGACTTTAAAAGTTCATTCAATATTTGTTACAAGTAGAAATTTTTTAGTCTCATACGTATGGGAACAATGGAATATGACAGCCTACCTTGTTTATATATACATAAATATCTTCTATTTAACAGGCATACATATACATGTGCTCTATGCACTCATTATAACACTTTTATCATTATCACAAAATTACAGGTTAAGGACAATCCAGGGCTCTGCATATTCAATGGCCATTGTGCCTAATACTTGGGTGGTTTCACACACCACTATTCTGGCTGTCTATAAGTTATGCAGACTTATCGAAGAAAACTTAAAAAAAGGTCAAGCAGACTAAGGACTTTCATGTTTACAATAGGACAGGGTTTAGCTGTTTAGTAAGTTGATTCCTCCATGTTCATTTCATTCACAATGCAATTGAACAATTTGGTTGGTTGACAGTCTAGAGAAGCCAGATATAAAATTCAAGTTAACAAACTGTTACCTTTCCTTCATCAATGAGTTCCTTAAGGGCCCTGAGCTGCTCTACAAATGGTACACTTGGCCTCCATTTTGAAGGATCATAAAAAAATTCACCAAACAATGCCACATACCGGTCCGGCCTAAAAACAGAAAAGTAAATTATGTTCTTAGATGTCCACAAAACAAAAGAGAAAATTGACAACAGTGAACTTCGTATAGCTTGAGCTGCATTGCCAATCAGGAAAAAAAGTGTTCTGAACACTTCAAGCTTTTGGAATAGCAATAAGGATTTTCTCACCAATGTATTTGCAACAGATCAATGTAATCAGTGTTGAGACGCTTAAGGCTTTTCTCTACACTTTCTTTAATATTAGCAGCATCAACCCGCAAAATCTTTGCATTGTCACGCATATAACTTGATCGCTCAGAATATCCACAAACTTTCGTAGCCAAAATAACCTAACCATAAAGGGAAACGATGCAGTATGTCAGTGTTCTGGTATCAAAACAAGAATTTGAAGGTTTTTAGCTTTTAGGTTTTAATAATTAGAATGAGTGTTTTGACTTCTACAAAATTCAGAATCTTTCATATGTCGAAGATAAAACATGCCATTCAGATTCACAAAATGAAGTCAGCAAAAAAAAAAAAAAAAAAAAAAAAAAAAAAAAAAAAAAAATGAAGAAAATCTCAGACAGCTAGTACTGTTTAAATCCACAGTGAGAATTTTAATTGAAGCAGTTTGGGATTATATATTTTAGAAAATGATAAACGAATTTTATGTGAAACAATAACAATTCATGAAGCAAGTCATTCCAGGATGGATTGCAGGTCTCTATTACAAATTAACAATTACAAATCATTTGCAAGCTAAAAATCAAAGATTGCTTGGAAAAATACATACTACCATTCAATTTGTTTTGTTAGATATCTGAAAACATAGTAAAGAAATTATCATGCTTTATCAAAGCCAGAGCCAGAGCCAGAGCCAAAAACTTGGATTAAATTGCAGCCTACTATAAGAAATTATTGTTAGAATATTTCCTTGTTTCCTTATTTAGATTAGATTGTGATTGATTGATTGTGATTCCTTAATCAGTCAATCAATTAATTAATATAAAAGGTGATTCCTTAATCAGTGCCTTAGGGCTTCCTTTTGTAACAGTTGATTGATTAATATAAAAGGTAGTGATATCATAATCATCATCCAAGTTTTGTATTATCTTAAATTACATGGTATCAGAACCAAAACCCTAAAAACCGTCACCCACACAGTCATTGCCACCAACCAGCCATCACCTATCACCACCCATCCTCCATCGCTGGTCCCTGAGTCTTTGTTGGAACTAACCAAGGTCCCACAGACCTGTTCCAGCTTCAACCAAAGGCCCATCTGGCCTAGTCGACCCTTGTAAGGGCTATCCTAGCCTCTCTTTATGTATTTCGGCTCCTGTGGGTGAGTGTTTGAGGGCTGCCCATCTGCTATTGCCCCAAGTTTCTTTCCCTCTACTTTCTTGAACACAGTTCAACACTTGTTTTGATTAGAGGTTCGTTTTCCCGTATTTGATTTATTTTTTTGGTCCATAGATGACCCATTAATCCGATTGTTATGCTTCCACAATGGTCTGTATGTGATTTTGCTTGTTCCAGCCCATTCCATTCCTCTTTACATTCTTGTGATTTGTGCAAGGTTTTTTAGATTAAAATTACAAAGTTCTTATGGTTGACTTAACTAGTGAATCCACGACTACTTCTCATCCATCTAAAGGGGAGAGCTCCAGTCCAGTTATGACTACTATATCTGAGAACCTGAACCTAAACCTGAACATAAACCCTAATCTCAAAATCACCACCGCTCTGTTTAATGGTTAGAATTACCTTTCATGGTCTCAGTATCTGACACTTTTTTTGAAGAGTAGGGGGAAGATGGGATATGTTAATGGGAGAGTTCAAGCACTGGGTATTACGGACCCTGACTAGTTCCGATAGACACTCAGGGACTAGCGATGGAGGATGGGTACTGATAGGAGATCTACATTAAGATATTATACTTTTGTGGGCGATAATCTTGTTACTTGGAGGAGTAAGAAACAAAATGTGGTGGCTAGATTGAGTACAAAAGCTGAGTTTAGAGCTATGGTACAAGGTGTGTATAAACTCTTGTAGATTAGACTGTTGTTGATGTTGGAAAATAGTTTTATATAGGCATATTTTTTAGCCCAATTTATGTGGGCCCCAAACGTCTTTTTGGGGTGGGTCCGAAGAGGTGACGTGTTCCTTGCTGCGTGGCTAAGAAGCATGGACACGGACACGTGACACGACACGAGTACGACACGGACACGCTGACACGTTAATTTTCAAAAAATGTAGGACACGACACGTGAGGGACACGCATGAAATATGTAATTTTATATATTTATTATATGTTATATATATGAATATATCATTAAAAAGATAATAAAAAATACAATATGACACTAATTCCTATAAATTTATATAGTTTTTGTTTTATTATTGTATCTTAAGTTGTTTTGTTCAAACTTATAATTAATTTCACATATGTTTAATCGTTAGACACTTGTATTTAAGCGATGGACACGTATGTCCTTCAAGTGTCCAAAGAGTGTCCAAGTCTTTAAAAAAATTTAAAAAACAGGACACGTTTTGAAGAGTGTCGGACACGTGTCCTGAGAGTGTCCAAAGAGTATCGGTGTCCGACACGGATACGACACGAATACGTCACCTTCTTAGAAGTGTCCGTGCTTCTTAGCTGCGTGGCAAGTCACACGGTGAAGACGGAACATTAAAACCATTTATAAGTGAATGGGAAGATGACGTCGTTTTTGGGTTTAACATTAATTTTTTAGATAAAATTCTTTTGAATTTTTTCAATAAAAAATTATTGTGAGAATTTAATTTAATTCTAAATTTTAGATTCCTTAAGTGGTTTCCTAAAATTTGTACCTCTTTTTTGTTTGAAAGTTCATATTCGAACACAACAAACGGTGTCTACTGTACTGATATTTCATGTGGTGTGCGAATAGAATTTTCCAAATCCATGTTAGGGCCACTAGGCAGAACTGTAAAATACCAAAGTTATCCTTATTCTAAAATTCGGCTACTTAACAGGGCAACACGTCCACAATTGAGGGTTAATGTTCAGCACTTATTTGGATCCACACTATCCAACACCTAATTGTTGCAGTCCTTGTTTGACCCTATATTAATTGGACAGTTCAGAACATATGAAATGATTGTGTCAAAAATAGGTCACATGGGTATTGGAAATGATTCATGCATCTGACATGCCTGATTAGAACATCAAAACCGTAGGCATCTTGACAAAAGGAGAATGTTAATATGTTCAAGTTATGCCAAACAGGCGCTTCGATTTTTATCTGATGCATATGAGCAGAAAAGTCGGACATTTAATTTGACAATTTGAGAAGGTATTTGTGTCATTTTTGGAGGTTAACCAGCTCTCGGACTTCGCCACTCCCTTACTCATGTATACATATAAAACAGGTTGGACTTCTGTGTTCAGAGTTTTACCTAATATATAATTTACAGTATGGTTCTAATGAATCTTCTTGCAAATGAGAAGGAAGATTGGGGCAAAGTCTTGCTATTAGATAGCAGAATTGGGGTTTCCATCTTTGCATAGTGAGAACCTCAAAACAAAAGCAATCCTCTTTCAATGGACCTATGTTGAATTGATCAATCTAGAATCATATGGAACTGTAGTAATTAGAGAATGACTGCTGATCTGGAGGAGTTTCTTATGGGATGAGAATTTTGGCTTGGAACCTTTTAATATTGAAAATAGTTGCATTTGCCTCTTTGATCATTAAATATTGTCCTCAGAGAGCTTAATTTGGAAATGTTATTTACTTACAGCCAAAGTTTTGCGAAAATTCATTTTTATATGTATTTAATCCTCCAAATATTATTGCATCCTATATCATGCCCTGTCAAACTAAATCGGCATTTCTAAAAAAATTACAAAGCCCACTTCGTATAAGGGTTGCCCTTCAAAATTTAATGTCTAATGTAATGACCCAAAAAAATTAATTTGGCCTCCCATTAAAAAGCCAATGGTAACCGCATAATAAGAAAAAAATCTTCCAGTAAATAAGAAATATAGTTTTACCTTTTTGTTTTTGGTAATTAAAAATATAGTCTACTTGATTGGTGTGAAATCATATTAAATGAACATTCTTTGCCAAAAACAGTTAAATTTTATTAAATAAAAGAGATTTGGTTTTTAATTGATCCACTTGCAAAGCTTTATGAGCTTAAGAACATTGACTAAAATTCAAATAAGTACATAAGTTTATGAGAAGTGAGTAACATGTCTAAATTGAGACTAGTCTCCTATAGTTTTTGATTAGGTTAATTGGCCTATATTAAGTAATATTTTAATAATTATTTAATCTATTAAACCCAGCCTGACTACTCACCATCTTTTCGGCAAAATTTTCCCTATACCTTCCTTCCATCCTCCTTAATGGAATACTCCTAGCTCCATTGACTTTTGTTTTGTTTAGACTTATCTTCTTTTTTGGATTCTATTCTAATCAAAGTATTTTTTCTCTCTCAAACTGATTATAGCCTTGCCTACCTATCTATTCTATGGAGATTCAAGATGAAATAGTAGGTGCAAATTGTAAAACCACCTTTAGGCAGTGATTAATTTGTTTAGTGGGCTGGAGTGTGCATCAGGGTCAGTGGCCAGACACAGGGCGGGTGAGGGCCATGCCCACCCTAAACTTTATAAAAAATTCATTTGCTCCCATATAATTTGAGTATTTATAAAGTGTTAAAACCTATCACCTACTTCACCCACTTAAACCTACTCCACTAAACCCAACCCACTACACCACTACCACCTCACCTACTCCACTAAACCTAACCCACTACATCCACATACTCTCCACCTACTTCACCCACTTAAACACCCACTTAAACCTATTCCACTAAACCTAACCCACTACACCACTACCACCTCCACTTCACCTACTCCTTACCTACTACACACTCACCCTCTTCTATATATAGGAATCATGAATCATTGTAATAAATATAACATTACATGAATCAATAATACAATCATTTCTCTTTATACATTAAATTTCTACATGGTATCAGAGCAAGGTTAAAAACCTAGTATTTTCGTTCCACCGGCGGGCGGCAATCTCGCCTTGGCCGCCCGCCGGACAAACCCAAATTTCCTTAATTTTCTTCAATAGCATTGACATCTTCTCCATGCCCTCCCCTGGATCTCCTTTCTCGTCTTCCCTACACTGATATTTCCTTCAACGCAGAAAGTGAGTCTTTTCTTATGGGTTCTCTGCATGTCAGAGTTGGAACTTTCCTCCTTTAACTCTTCATCAAAGCAGTGTTGTTGCTGCTTCTGGGAACCGTCATTGCAGCTGCATTTGCTGATCCATTGGTAGACGCT